AAAAGCCGCAAGCTAAATTACAGAAAGAAATATTCGTCGTGTGCATCAAGGTAAAATATACTTTTATATTAGTCCATCACTTAATATTTCTGGTGTCGTAAAAATCGACTGAAGCTTTGTGGAGTCAACATGCGGCAGGGTTGCAGTGCATCTTGTAAGCTGATAGCTTTGACTCCTGTAGTCTACGTTTAGCAACGCTCAGATGGTGGTTTGTGCGCTTCACAAGGGTTTCTAGGTACATTTCTCCTTGAATCTCATAAAACATATATTTAGAGCTTAGCCAGCCTAAACGAATAGATTTTAGTGTACGTGTCACATGTTACAATAATGAAGCCTTTCCAAGCATAGTGTAAGGCTGGCAGCATATGTGCCCTCCGATTTTCTTCTTGCGGAATTTCAACGCCCGACCTTCCAAATCAAATCATGATCACACAACCAAAATGCTTTACATTGGTGCTTCGAAATTAGTAGATATTATAGTCAATAAGTACGAATACTGTTTCAGGATCACATCCTTCTCATCAAACAGAATTTTCGGTGGTCACAAAATAGTTGTCCTATCAAAATTCGTGAAGACACGAATGCTTTACAAAAGAGCAGTACGTATTCTCCTATCCACAAGCCAACACCTTCTCTTTTGAAATATGGTAGAATCCGCATTCTCCAACCTAACAAATCCTTACAGCCTACCGACCCGCTGAGAAAGGCGCAGACCCCATGCCTGAAGCCTATGAGTCACACTCGGCGAGGAAGCAGATGTACTTAACAATCAAAGTCATAGTGACTCCGAAGCACCAAGCCAGCACATTTGCCTTCACCGATAACCAAACGGCAAGCCGAATATGAATCACCCGCTACGCTTCATCTCTGCTCTTCAGGAGATTTGCACCTTATCGCGGGACTAATAACGGTTCCGGCTCGTTAATGATTATATGGATGTGGTCAGCGAGCCAAAATTGCCCGTATAAGACCCGTTGCGATATTAGCAGACAAGTTACGTCGCGATCGCTGCTTTAGTTAAATATTTCGCACCTCGCGCCGCGGGGGGGCATTTCAAGCTTATGCGTGTGAGCCTCCTGCTGAAACGGAGAGCAAAGCAACGCCCGAGATTCGCTCCAATAGTCTTTCTTTCTCTGCAGTTTATCATTTATCAGAAGTATCACCTGCGCCTAGAGCAGCAAATGTTGAATAATTTGTACCCTCCCGGAGAGCTGAGTTTGCTATGTAGCATGAGGAGCATGTTACTCAGTTTGCGCACTACATCACTTCGCTCGTTCAAGACTTAACAGCCTGCTTCGATGTAGTAGGCGTCCGGTTAGAGCGTCGCTTGATTCTTGGTTGCGCTGTATAAAGAATAAGCTAGATGATAAGATTGATGCTTATTACCTTTATACACTGCCTTGCTCGGCTCCATGGTTCAGCTGCTACATCGACTGGTCTGGTCTCAAATATGGAACACGGCCATACCAAACTCACTAGCAGCTAGCGCGTTGTGCAGCGCATTCCTGTCTCTTCTCTAGAAAAACAAATGGTAGAAAATGCTCAATTCTCCTTGTCGTCAGCGTCAATAAATCGCGCTAAGATGTATCATGAGTCTTGGGGTGCGGCAATCTATTCATTCAAAATATACTGTCTACATTTCCGATCTACCAGCTTACAATCTGAAGTGACAATCCCTAGCTCGTCAATTAAAAAAGGTAGACGTCGACTCCGCGCTGTGGGATATTACAGCTATGGAGGCACGTTACTGCATTCAGTAAACACTTTGTCACGCTACATATTCATGCGCGTTTCACCCGGACTTAGCGTCGGAAGTGTGATAGCATATAGACAAATGCGTTGCGCAAATGGAAGCGCTAATCGAGCCACAACTGCACTTGGAGTCAGTCAACCTACAGCATTTCACTGCTCTTCCGTGTATACATTAATGGGGTGACCCCTCTCGTTCACTTCATCACGTAGCTCGGCTAGCCTATAAGCAAAGTGCGTCCTCGGAAATGACGGATACACGAGCGGGATCGCGGTATGGCTTCATTCATACTACCAGAGTAGGTGCGTTTGCATTCTGTTGTGGATGTTCACAGTGTAATCAAGTTCTGTTCTTGCTACGACCGCGAAAGGGTCAATGTAGCACCGTCGCAAATGAATTCTCTGAAAGGCAGACACTGCAAGTGTAAGAAAGGTTCACTGAAATCGGTAAAACCGTTTACCTTATGTTCATGTGGGTTTAGCCTACCTCTGACATCGGCTTGTTACATCTAATCATCCTGGGTATCAGCGATAGCGCTGCGCATCCAGCGCATGACGCTCAATCTTATTAGGATAAAAATTAATTGATTCTGCTACGGATTGTAGTCGGTCTAACATATGCCAGGAAGTACAATTTGGTCAACCGCCCCCCTACCACCAAGACCTGGGTGATCGCATAGGCACCAAAAGGTAAGAACCCCATTATTTTAAATGGTATAAAGCTATAAAGGCATGTGCCGCGGTATTACGCGCAAACTGAATGAGCTGAGCGACTCACTCCAATACTGCAGTCTCTCAGCACAAGAGCGTAGAAGGATTTAATTCACCGATCAATTATTGCGTTTCAGTTGAATAACTTTTAGTGGAAGCCAGCAGAAATCGTTTCTAATCAGGTGCTGAAAAGCGTTCGCCAAGACTTCGTTGTAAGGTACGTATCTTTTTCCGACACAATTGTTACTGGCGAGTAATGTTGGCCAAAATACACTAAGTCGAGGGGCTTTTTGCGATATCACCGTCGATGACGGTATCGGCAACGGGATGATCAGACGATCCGCAACGACCACAAAATGCCTAATTTGAAAACCAAAAATAAATTTATAATTATGAACATGTCAATACTTTGCCGGAACTGACAGGATGGCCAATGGCGTCGCAGCATGTGGCAAGGGTAAAGCAGATAGTACATGTATGTGCTTAAGCACTTATACGTGGTGAGTTTCGATACATAGCACTCACTGACAAGTGGAGAGAAATGCACTGTAGTAAAACGATGCGTTCCTTGCGCGACTAAGTGTCTGCGATTCCACACTTTTCTTTTGATAAAAGCCGTTGCCGCACGATGAAATATGTGGTTCAGGGAACAAAGTGTTATATATGCATTACCTATTCGGGGGCATCATACGAAAGGGGTCTCACGTCACCACGTCGTGATCTTCTTTCAACAAAAGATAACAAGGATTCGAATGATCCTTGGGGATTGCAGTCTCACGTATCCCTCACTGTACTCTACGAGTTTCCTCATCGACCAATTTATCCGTGACGAATGAAGATATCAGCTTTTCCATGTTACAAATCGGGGTCTTAATCGTCGTGATATACTTACATGTATTCCCGATACAAAATATCTTCAACTCAATGAGGGCATTCAGCGAAGGTAGTGATGAAAATTTACGTTCTCTAGATCGAGCCCCGCCAACTCACTTACGATCAAATATCATTTTTTCAACACTTATCCGTAATGTCTCATTACTCCGCTCCGAGGACGTCAAAGGATAATGCGAACTCAGCAGTACATTTCATCTGGGCAAAAAAAAGTCACCTTTTTGAACTCAAGGTTTGAACCTGCTAATTGCAACTTGCAGTCGCCCTTTAATTGCTCCACCCAGATGCTTCCTGCTGCGGGGCTGCCGTAGCTCTTTCGCTTGGAAGAAGCTTAATTCTAGGTCGGCGACCTTCGTTCAATACTTGGAACAAGTACAAGTGTAGAGGATCGCAATCCGCTTACTCCAAGAGCAACTACAACCTTAACTCAACTCCCATTAGCTCTTCCGTTTAAATCGTAAGGTGTACTTCTGGGTTTCATCTGCGGCAAAGCCGCCTATATCTTAATATGTAGGTTTTCCTCATCTACATAGTAAAATCTTGTTAAATGTAAGACTACTGGCTGTTTCAGCCACGTACTGACTGGTTACCCAGTGAAGCCACATCATTCTTTAGTGACATCATCTTGCGTGACCTCATTACACTCTCACCCATCATAATTGTGAACATCTACAGTTCAAATTCAACTGTCGCCTCGAAGGAGGCTCGCGTGTCTAAGACACCACAACATCACCAGGACTATGTTACATTTTCTGCTCAATGAGCCTTGTGTCGATGGTACGGAAGATTCCCAGCCTCGTCGGTTTTGAAAGAAACCTCGAAAGCTTATAGCACGTTGTGCACCGGTTGCCTCATGTTGAGGGCTATCGCGCTCTGTCGGAGCAGCTCCTAGCCGCTTCATACGACGGTGGAGCGAAGTTTTGGCCTAATCGCTGTAACCGTGGCAGGCACTTTCCCGTAGATGGATGGTATTACCCGCATCATGTAGAGTCTCCCAATTGGTGCGGCTCGCAACGAGACAATCTGCGTCCTTCCAACCTATTCGAGAATAGTATTGTCGTATTGAACATGGGGTGCAACTTTCCTGTTACGGAATCCGAGTGGGGGTATTGGAAGCCGAAGGGCTAAGAGTACACCAAACGCAATGGACTTCAGTCATGCTGACGAGGAAGGTGTAGATCTATTGGCTTCCGAGCAGTATGCCTTGCAGATACTTTATAGTTTTTGAGCATATCATATCACCTATAATTACCCGCTTGCTCTCAGCTGAGAGATGCAATAAGTCGAGATTATATGGAAGGTCATCTGACGATCTCTTTGGAAACGTCGACTATCAGTACGCTCAAAAAATCGATGGAAGAGCACGGAGGTCTATCGTACCTCGTGAAGGCCTTGGTGGATGGGGATCAGTCTTTAAAGAGCGACATGCCACGTGAGGCGAGGCTTACAGCACAGGGTGGGTGGTTGCAAACTTCGATACCCCGGTGTGTGAAACCATTCCAATTCATGATCTATTCAGAAGCGTTTAGTAATCATGTACCACTTGTAACTGTGAAATTTAGTAGACAGGCTAAAATCTCAAGCAATGCAAAACATTAAAGTATGCTGTACCCAGATTCGAGATAGGAACTTTAATATGTATGACGTAACTGTGGCGCTATGAGTCTTATATTGTCTAGTAGTCGAAGAAACTAGATGCCGCATGCTTATTCGAAGATCTTTGACAAGTGATAAAATCATTTTTTATTGAAAGCATAAACAGAATCTACACGGGCTCGAAGATACAATAATTTCTCTACAAAACGCGCAAACGCTATATTAAAATGCCTCGAAGCACAGCTCGAAAGGAAGATTAGGCAGTGCAATAATGTTGCTGATTTAGGCGGATAAAAGAGATCGTGTTTCTGGTCTCCAGAGCGTAGAGTGTTCGACCCAGAAGAAACGACTGCTTGTTGTGGTCTCCTTAGCAAATATTTCGTGGAACGGTAAATAACGGGTGTAAGATGGTTGGCGGTGTTTATTTCACAGCGGAAATGTAACGGGGTCACACACGATGGTGTGATCACACAATAGTGTGAGACACACGAGATGGTTTGGGTTACACAGAATGGTGTAACCACACAATGGTATGGCTACATATAAATAAGAAGTACTTGGCTGGAACAGCCAACAAATGTCAATTTATTCGGTTTTGCGACATGGATAAGAAAACCTATAAATTAAGGTATAGGCGGCTTTGTCGCAAAAAAAATCAAACCGAAAATACAATTTTTGTTTTCAAACGAAGCAGTTAATTAGCCTTGGATTAAGGTTGTAGTTACTCTTGGAGTAAACGGACTGCTATCCGCTACACTCGTAGTCGTACTGGTTCTAAGTAAAGATTGAAGGTCGTCTTTAACTAAGCTTCTTCTAAGCGAAAGAGCTACGGCAGATTCGTAGCACTTGGTAGAACTTGTAGTCAATCTACACCTGAGACGTTACGACTGCCCTCTATGAAGATAAAGCGGTTCTCCTATTTGGCTTGCTAGACGGTATTAAAAAGCTGATGTCCCTGCTAAGCCCTGAGAACTTGGAACACCTTGTTATGCAAAGGCCCCGAGCGATATACGCGCGGCAAGAGGCGTTTTCGGGCTATGAAAATGCTCTGCTAGACAATCTACAGCAGATTATATCGGCATCGACAGCGTCCATGATGTCACTGTCGACGGCGGATGAATCCTCCCGGCCCAGGCCGCTCATCGTGAGCATTTAGACCTTCGAGGGTAAGAATGGAGAGAGTATCATGCTTTGCATAAGAGAGGCCGAGATGGTTATGGCATTCGCCATGCTTCAGAACGAACAACAGCGCGTGGCGCTAGCTATCTCCAAGCTCAGGGGTCGAGCGTGAGAATGGGCACTGACGTGTGGTATCTCCTTTCTTGACGGAGCTGAAGCGTCAGCTTTCACGAGTGTTCTCGCCACCTACCAGACATATCACGTTCGATTGCGATTCCTTGCCATCTGACAGAGCAAGAAAAAATTATTGGACTTGGTTCAAGCGCTGCATACTCTCATTGCCGATATGGTAGACGATCCTCTTCACCAGGCGCTTCCAGTGACCGTCTTTATGGACGGACTCCAACCGGGGAGTCTTCTGTGTGCATCCGTCTTCTTTGAAGAAGTAGTGAATGTTGCATTGAATGGCGAGTTCAACTTTAAGTCGGTACGACTTGGTTGGAATGCATACCCTCGGAGCTCGTCGAGCGGCCTGAGCCAAGAACTTCGAGCTGCCGTGCAGCGTATAAACACTTGACAGTGTTTTGTCTGTGAGACACCCGTCACCTTCGGACTGGGAGCCCCCTGCGCAAGACACGTAAAGGTTCATCGAACCCACGTTCGCTTCTCACCAGTCTTCTGGTTTGTCGCGGAGAAACGACAAAACCCGGTAGGCGCGGGGAGACCTACTGGGGAAGAACTGAGCTCTGTTGTGCCTCAAAGAGGTAGAGGACGACAGGGCCCAGCCCCGAAGTGCTCCGTGCTCTTGAACAAAGAACGAGTATTCAAGCCGGGCTTGCTGGTCGTGGGATTGACCGTGAAGGGCTTTGAGAAGCCATGGGAGATCCTGATCAATTCCGGGGCGTCGGGTAATTATGCTCGACGCTCCACGATCGAAGGAACTCAGCTATATACTGAAGCGCTGAAAGCGCGGCTGAGTGACACTGTCACTGTTCGTTCAGCGACGGGGACTTGCGTTACTGTGCCGAGAGTTTCTTTGGGCCTCGGTGTCAAGTTTCTTGACTTCGATAGCGTGGAAAACTGCTTAGTCTTAGACCTGGATGTGAGGTATGACCTCATCCT